GTCGCCGACTGGTCCGTCACCGCCAGTATCTCCTCCGTTTCGGTTCCGCGCGCTGTCGGGAGTTCAGACAGGGACTCGACCGACAGCACGGGCCTTGTCCGCGCGTTGCGCGTGAACCTTCTCACCGAATCGGACGGTGCTTGAGGCGACGCGAGCGAGGTCGCCTGTCTTCGAGCCGAGCGGTGCGTCTCGCCTATCGCTTGCGCGTAGCGTGCCACCGCTTGGTAGTCCACGCCCGGATGCGTCGCGAGATAATTCCGCACCTGCGCGCACGTTGCTGGCAGATGTCCTTCAACGAAAAGGGACTTCAAGCGCCTGTCCGAAAATACGGTTCCGCAGCGCAACGCCTTGTCCCACAACTGGTTACTGTACACCTCCTCCGTCATATTAGAGCTCTGACGGAAGGAGGTGACATCACCGACCGCTTCGGAAATAACTTCGTCAGTCGCGTACGTGCGCAATAAGAAGTTAACGACTTCCGCGTAGGTTTCGAGCATATCGCCCTGCTCCGCATCGACCGCCATGGTGTTCCCGTGTAGCCTGGACTGGAGCAAGGCGTGAGCCTGCCCAGTCAAATAGAACTGGAAACACCATACGGCCGCGCCTTCGCTGACCCCATTGTGGTCGCAGGCCATCTTGAAGCGCGCGAGAAACCCTGGCACCGCGATTGGATCTTGACCACCGAATGTGTGGGTTTTCAGCTGGACGTCCAACTTCTTCCGATATCGGTTAACTCGCCGCGCGGTACTCGCGTCGTAGCGCGCGCTGCGATTTTCCAGCCTATACGTGCGGTAGTCGACGGCCTTGGTGAACAGGTCGTTCAGCGGCCTGATCACCGGCAACCGTTTCGGATCCCGCCTCGGGGCAGACCGGCGGTCTCTGCCCCTGCAATGGCGGTCTCCTTCTCCGCCGGGGCTACTGTAGCCTTCCGGAACGGAGTCTTCTCGCCGGAACCGACGTCGGTCGCGCGCATTGCGGCCTCTGCGGTCGCCTCTGCGCGATCCGTCCGACTCGGTGTCCTCGTCATCGGAGGGGTAACCGACCCCTCCGGCAGCGCGGTATCGCGTGTAGCGTCCTTCGCGGTTATCATCAGAGGGGTAACCGACCCCTCCGGCAGCGCGGTATCGCGTGTAGCGTCGTTCGCGGTTATCATCGGAGGGGTAACCGACCCCTCCGGCATCGCCGTATCGCGTGTAGCGTCCGTCGCGGTTCTTGCGCGTCGCCCTGTGGCGACGTCTTGTGTCTTCTTCCTCGGAGGGGTTTTCTGTACCCTCCGAGGTGTAGCCTTGAGCGCCGGGTGCGCTTCTTCTACTCGACCGATACGGCTGTCGCTTTTCTGTCGCGAAGCGCCCCAGGCGGTTTTCTGTCCGGCGGGGGCCAGCCGTATCGGCGAGCACGGGAGGGCCATTTTCTGTGGGCCCTCCTGTAGCACCATAAATTGGTGGGAGGTAAATGGTCTTACCCTCCGGGCGAGGGGCCATTGTACCGATCCCGGGTGCGGCGCCAATCGGTTCAGCGTGCGTTAGCGTAGGATCCGGAGCGGTTGAGTCGCGCTGCTCGCGTGCGTCGACTCCTGCTCCGGCGAAGGTCGTGGCCAGACGATTGGCCACGGCGGAGCTGATCGCTCCCTTTAGAGCCGTACCGGACGGGGATTTTTCATCCACAGTGGTGAGCGCGGTCACCACCTCGCATTGGACTTGAGCGGGTAGAAGTTCGTCCAAAAGCGGTGGTATCGCGCTGCGTACGTGCGCGTCCACGAGCGCGGGCACCGTTCGGTCGAGGCATACGCGCGCTACCTGGGGGAGTTCCGTAGCGAGGAACTCCTCGACCCACGCCTGGATGCGCGGCTGAATCGCGTCGACCATCCATTGGACGCGATTCTCAGTGCCTGCCGACACGGCCGGCGTAACATCCGATGCCGACGCTCGCGTGCGGCCCGGTCGCGGTGGTGGTCGCAGCAGGGCTTCCGGGTTCTCCACCCGGGGGCGCGGTGCGCCACTGCCACTGCGGGTGCTCAGACGCCCGGGGGCGGAGTCTCCCCCTTCTTCCGGTCGGTTCATCGTCGGATACGCTTCGCGATCGACGCGGTGATTTCTCAACCTTTTCCGTCCGTACGGTTCTGCGCGCGATCGAGCGACTACGCGTGCGGCTCAACCTCGAGAGTTATCCCCTCCACAAGAGTACCAAATGTGGGATAACTCCTCTCCGCCCTGGGTTGGGTGAGAGGCGGAGGCTTTAGGGAGGGAGCACGCGGCGCGGACGCGACGCGCTAATTGAACCGATCGGACGAGCTCGCGAAAAGGGAGTGGCTCGCTGGCCGGTTACGCGCAGTCGCCCCGTGGTGCGTGAACGGGAGCGACCGGTAACGGGTTAGAAGCCAGCGCGCGCGACAGACATCCGAAAACGGACGTACGTAGGCGCAAAAGGGACGGGGGCGAGCTTGCCCCCGTTTACTGGTGGGGACGGGTGCCAGGTCTTAACCCCGCAGAGGGACGCCTCAGACACCTGTCCCAGTACAGTAGTACAGTACCTGCCGCCTAGTGCGTGCCGGGTACTGTACACAATTAAAAAACTAGCGCCATAATTGCTACTACCGCACGGACGCTGCTACTACATGTGTGCACTACTGTACACGCGTGTTGCTTACAGACTACTGCACAGACGACACGTGTGCTAACGCGCACACGTAACACGCGTAGACTACCGCTCGGACGATACGTGCACTACTGTACACGTACGCCAGATTACGACCGCTCGGCATGCGCGCGCGCTCGCTACACGTGGGCACAACCGCCCACGTGTATACCGTATATGGCCGTCCGATGACCTCCGCGCGCTCGCGCCGGTCATTATACTACACGTCTGGTCACAAAATACCACCCTTTTTCATTGTAGAGGATAAGAATGTAATGAGTGGATGAATCTTGTCACTCCAGCAGACCGAAATAACATGCCATTCCCTTCCAATCTGATGGTGGCGACATTGGCTTACAGTGATGTCACTGTTGACAGATTAAGTTGAGCTTCGAAAAGGCGGGGTTATGGCCAATGAACTGTTCATTTCCCGACAGGTTTAAGAGACAAGGACCCAATGCGGTGTCATATGACCCGAAAAGTTTGCTGGCAGCTTTAGTAAATGTGGCAATAGAACTCGCAACCGCGACAATCAGACTTTTCGCAAGCTCAAAAACATTTTGGAGGCAGCAAAAGACCCCACATTAGGACACTGTGATGTTGAAATATTTTTGAGCAAGAGCAGGAGTGTAGACAAAATCCTTATGACAAGCACACGTTCCTCGAAAAGTAAGAGTTCGACCGCAACTCGTCCGAAAAGTGTTGATTTGCAAATAGGGACACCTGCTCTCTATCTGACTTTGGACGAAATAATTGAAAGCCGAAAAGAGAGAGACGTAAAAATAGCTACTGAAACGCGACTCAAAGGTGAGAAGAAGGCAGAACAGGAACGCAAGCGCGTACAGCTGGGATTGTCAAGTGAAAATGGCTGTGCAAAGTCAACGTTGGGATCAGAAAACCAAATCCCGCTCTCTTTCGCACGCGACGAGAATTTTTCGCCCACGTCTGGGGCGAGGTACGGTGCGGCAATGAGTGGTACACTCTCGAAGCATGCCTTCAGGAAGGATAAAGGCGGTGAAGATGAGGTTGTGGAATATCTGTTGTCGCTTTCCGGTTCATAACTAAAATTACCAAATTGCCCCTTTTTCTCATTTGAGCCCTTTCTGCACGTGTGTGAAAATGTCAAATGGCTTCAAACAGGTTGTTTTCGCCCGCGTCCTTTCGTCGTCTATGGCACATGGACATCCCACTGGCTGTAGCAGACGCTTTTTGGTAGCCCAGGATAGTGCCATAAAACACTTGTTAGGCTCCGTCAAAATAATTACCAAATTGCCCCCTCGGGGAAGGGTACTGCCTGCACGCGCCTTTCCTTACTGTAGCACTGTCAGCCGTCTGGGCTGACGGCACACGTGTGCGCGTGCGTGCGTGTGCGCGCTGTAAGGTCCATGCCTTATTACCATGCGCGATCTAATTCTAATTCTATTTGTCGTCTCTAGTCATACTACAGATCCGCGTTACGGCCGTGCCTATCGACTCTGTGGTGATTCCTTCATATGACTCCCAGTCATTCCTCTCTCACGTCGTTGGCCAACGGCACCTCCCCTTTTGCTCAGTGGTTATCATTTCCTGCATGACAGGTTATGGGCCTCATTGCTACTGCTGCGCACGCGAGTTCGAATCCCACCGTACACCTCCCCCCCACACTACCCTATCACAAGCTCACACGTCAACCACCCGACGTCGTTAGAAGCACCTCTCACAAGCTCACACGTCAACCACCCGACGTCGTTAGAAGCAACCTCTCACAAGCCGACACGTCTCACACCCGACGTATTCACATGACGCCGAAAACCCATTTTCATCAGGTTTCAAGGTCCACCCCGCACTGTAAGACGTCATCAACACGCATCAAAAACCTTCAGGTTCAGGGTAAACCTGCGCTCATACTTTCAAGTTAATCCGGCAATCCTTCTCATTCAGTCACTCACATACGAGTTCAGGGGGACTGTGGTGATTCCTTCAACTCTTTCATTGAACTCGTCTGCTCATTCCCACTTTGCGATGCTTCCTTCTCTGCTGATTCCTTCATATGACTCCCAGTCATTCCTCTCTCACGTCGTTGGCCAACGGCACCTCCCCTTTTGCTCAGTGGTTATCATTTCCTGCATGACAGACTCAAGCCGGCCAACTGAGCCCATCTCACTCGTCTTTTACGCCACCACAAGTCCTGATGACCTTGATAAGGAGATTAACACGGTTAGTATGGACGACGCGTCCCTGTGGGGAAAATGGGCCTTGGTAACGGTATGCATATCTCACGAGAGGAAATCGAAGGGATGTCGTCCTTGAAGGCATTGCAGAGGGTGTTGATGGAAGGCACAGGGTTCCAGTCAAGTGGCTGGAGTTCGGATCTGTTTCTGATATAGCTAGTGAGGTTCCTTCCTCATTGACAGTCTCCAGATCAAATAGTGCATCCGAGTTTCGGGCGTTTCTGCGCGCAAGGGGCGATGTCCCAGAGATGGAGAGTTTGCCAGTTGATACTTTCCATGTTGCTTCGCTACCATCGGATCCAAAACTTGCTTGGGCCGTTGAAAAGGTCCTTGATCGTCTACTACGGAAGTCTCGTCTTGCTGATCACAATGACCAATCATCTTCTCTCTATGTAACCAAAGGATGCGGTGCAAAGAAACTGTGAGGGTGTGCTCGTGCAGAGGCTTGTCGAAGCACCGTTCCAAATCGACGTGGCGTTTGCTCACTCCGATGGGAGAACGGCCGAAGATGTCAACAGTATTCCCACAAAAAAATTGGGCCATGAAGGCATGCAGAGTCTACTTGAAGCAAGCCGGAAGCGTTTTGATGCCAAATTTGATCGGGCGTTTGAGCTTGGTGCGAAGAACGTCTCGGTAGATGAACAAGCTTTTGCGAAAGCAGCTCTGTCAAATATGCTTGGAATTATTGGGTTCTGCTACGGAAGTTCTGTACCTCAGAAACAGAGAAAGAACTCTACCGGACAGGAGGACTTACAATTCCTGGACGCAGTAGGCCCACTAGCCACCCATCTCGCGCGTTGTTTCCAAGAGGTTTCTTATGGGATGAGGGAAAAGGTTTGCCACGAACGTTACGAAACCATTTTGCCATTGGCGGGCTTACTCAAACCCACAGATCTGCGGATTGGTGCGATTTTGGACGCTCTAGAGGACCCAGGACTTTTCAGGGCACGAGCAGGCGTACGCTCACTTTCAAGGAAGGACGAATGACATCGTAAAGGAGATGACTACTGGACAGGTTCAGTGTGGATGTCCTTCAATTTCCTCACACTTGCGGCATTGAGGACGAAGTACTCTATAGAAGACGGCCCGGAGACGTAGAATTTTACTGAAACCACTCAATATTGGGGTACCTGCTAGGTGAAGAAGAGCCCCACATTAAAGAGGGGCTCTTCGGGCTAGGGAGGAATTAGCCCTAGCCCCTCACAGTATGAAGAAGAATTAGACGGCCCATACAAAGAAAGAACGAGCGTCGAAGATACAAGGGGACGCGCAATAGTGCTGTTTTTGTTAGTGCCACCCTCGAATTACTGCCGCCCAAGTGCCACGTGTCACAGACGACGTCGTCGTCACCTCCATCTCTGGCAGGGTTGTGTGGGATCTTTGGAGAGTTTGGGTGTGGAGTACGATGTGAGCAATGCTTTATCACATTTGAGGTCTGCGAAACGAGCCTTTTTGGAAGCTGAGCATGAGAGGGAGGGTCGGAAACAACAACAGACCTTAATAACAGAGTTTTGGCCAAGCAATGGTTCACCCCACTGATCACTGCCGCTCCGGATTAGGGCCGTTTTTCTAGTATTCACACAGGGCGGCACTAATGCGTAGGGTCCACTATACTAGTGTCTACGTGTAGCTAGACGACCGGCTATTTGACCTCATATGAGGTCAGCTTTTTTTTATGGAACTACAGGGGTCCGATGGCCCTCTTTACTCTGCTCGCTGTGCGTCGTCGTCTTATGTGCTATTCTCTACTGTCCTGGACAGGCTGTCTTGTGCGGTCTGTCATTTTTTTTGCAAAAATATATACATTATTTAATCGAAACTTTATAAAGTCAGTTTGGACACCATTTCTTTAACGTATATGCCCTCGGCAATAACATCTTGCAAAACATTGGGATGGCAGTTGTCAATACACGGAGAGAATAAGAATCTAATGACGTTTCAATGATCAGTTGACTTTTTAAACAGGCGTTTTGGTTTCGAAGATATCAACACATAACTTTTTGAGGTTGGTCAAAAAGGCTCCTTTTTTGGGAATTCTAAAAATGACTGGAAAAGACGTGTAGATCTCACCAAACTCCACCCTTCCGCAACGCAGAAGTCAACTGCGGTGGCGAGAGTATCTTTTTCCATCTTGTTGAGCTAGCACAAGTCGAGAAAAAATAAGTGGAAAAGTGACCTCATATGAAGTACTTGTCGTCTAGACACTAGAGGATCTGCAGCAGTCAGTTCTTCAAAATGCATTCAAAGTTTATTCGGAGACAGGTCAGTTGTGGGAGAACTATTCACCTAATGATGATGGATCCAGAAAATTGGGTCGCCAGTTCACCGGCGGGTCCTTAATATTGCTCATGTATGCAGATATGTACGATGGCGTAACATAAAATCTACATCCTGCGTCAGAGAATCCACGAGAAGCTCTGCCGATGCGTGGATTCGGTGATCGGAGGACACTTCGGTCAACGCATTGACGCTTTGGTTCGATAGCGCTCACGCACGACTGACGCCGTCTCACTTTGGACCAGAGAGGGGGAGACCAATCGGCTTTCGTCCAATCTCTGCAAACGCGTAAAGCGTGACGGCTTGTGACCGGTTAGGACACACGCAGCCTGGACAGCGGCACCTCGCGCAACGGTTTCGTCACTGACGGGCAGTAGGACGTCGCGTTCCGCAAGTGAAGCAAATATGGCAGCGAATGTCTTAGACTTCGAACCACCACCGATCAGGAAGAAACGACCGTCAGCGGTGACGCCATTGGCGATCAGGGCATTGAAACCATCGAGTAGGCCGCAAGTGACGCCCTCGAAGGCGGCTCGCGCCATATCTGCGTGTTCCACTGAAGTGCGAAAACCCACGAGTGCCCCCGTCGCATCAGGACGATTTGGGGTCCGCTCGTCATCGAAGTATGGGACCAGGGTGAGTCCATTAGCACCCTGGGGCGCTGACAATGCCAACTCGTCAAGTCGTTCAAAGCTGACGCCTAAAAGTCACCGGATCGAGTGTGCCCGGCGCATCGCCTCGGTCGGTTCCCCAGCGACCGGGGAAGCCTAAGATTCAAATAGTCATGGGGAAGTCCTACTCGTCGAACACGGAGTAGTGAATAAGGTTCTATAGCCGCTAGCCACACAATTTCGCGATTGTGAAAGCGGGCGCCGGCAACGAGCCGACAGCAGAAGCCCACGCCGCGGGGCCGAGCTTGTTGCTGAGGTTGTATCGTTCCAAAGTTTCGCGGGGACCAGATCATTGTTCCCGTCAAGGGCCACAAAGCCGTGCTGCTGTCCCGAGATCGACACGGCTTTCACGCCAGGAAGATGAAGTTGAAGTTCTTCGAAGCAGCCAAGTAGGGCATTCCACCATGCACTGGGATGTTGCTCACTCTCTGGAGGGGTAGCCGCTGGATGTTGGCGTCTAGCCTGGGTAACCACAACCCCGGTATTGAGGTCCATCAGTTCCAGCTTGGTGGCATCAGTGCTCGAACCGACCCCGGCTACGAGATCGGTCCTTGTGAGTTCGGCCATGTCAGCGTAAAGCCGTCAAGAACGGCTGCCCAAAAACCCGCACCAGTGCGGCGAGGTCGAAGCGCTCGTGATTTAAAACCTTCTGCGGTCCGTTTGAGACTTAGCACACTGAACTGTTGTCGTATGATCGAGGATCTCTCAGGGGTCTCAGGCGACAAACAGCGATAGGATTGATAATATGCTTCTCGTCCTTGGAAAAAGTTATTGAGACAGGTATTTCTGGATCCAGAAGTTTTCTGGGATACTCTTTGATGCATTTGCTATGAGAGGACAAGGAAAGGTATCGCGAGGCCAACGGGGGCAATTGAACGCGCATCAAGTTTTGTGCTCCCGGAATGTTGACAGTTTATTAAAACAGAGGCCCTTTGCCATCAGCTATTTACTACGGCTTTAACCTAAACCTTCCGTGGCAGAGCGTGTACTTTGCTCGGGAACGGACGAGATTTCAAAATCATTGCGTAAGAAGTCTGATGAAGCCGACTCCCGAATGCCGCTTAACTGTGGGTCGAGATTCTGATCGACTGGATGCGTAAAGTAGGCCCACCAGTCTCTGTCCACCGGCAGCACATCCATTGCCTCTTCGCTGGTGATTTCACATTCCGCATCAAGGGCCATTTTAGAGACGCTCCACTCTTCTTCTTCAGCCGGACTGAGGCTTTCCACAACCAGGTCTTCCCTGTCTTCATGGGGATTGCCTGCAAGATCGCATTCCCCACTGACGCACATCTCGAAGCATTGTTCTGCAATTTTCTCAAGGCCAGTGCCCAGCCCGCAGGTCTGCATCTCACATAGAATGGGATCGCAATACGGGCCCACAAGTAAGTCAAGAGACCTCGAGTCATAAGGTCTCTCGTCTCCGAAGTTTGATATATCCCGATCACCTCCCAGCGGGTAGCTTGCAGTCGCGTGTGGGATCTCGCAAAGTTGCTCCGCTTCTTCCTCACTATTCCTTTCGGATGCCTCTTGATCCACTGCTGGTTGGATTTGAATATCTGAATCCGAAGGGGCGTCGCATATCTCCCCAGTCTTCTTCTTAATAGCCGCGAGCATCGTCACCGGTCCAGAAATGAACACAACTTCGTAGTCGTTATGTTTTTTTCTTGCATGGTAGTTTAGACTGCTCTTCCACACAAACTGTAGATCAAGTTCGTATCGCGGTTAGTTCAAGGAGATTAAGAAGCATAGTTGGAGTAAAGGAGAAGTGAATTGAGAGTATGTACTTACGTCAAGGCCACAAAGGGTGCAGTGGTATCTCTTGTCCCCCGTGTGAATCTTTGGGAACAAAATGCAAAGAGTTGGGGACCGGTCAGCACCAAAAAAAAGAAAGGAATGTCACGCGGAGATATGTTTTTGAAAGAACACCAGCAAGTTCAGTATTGCGGGATAGATGAATGGAGTACGTACTCGAAAGTGGGCCAAGAGGTTGGCCTTCTTTGAAAAGGAACGGGGGCATTGGTTGCACTTGGGCCTCTCGTTTTTCACCGGGGCGCTTACGGCAGCAGGCCGCGTTCGGCGATGTAGACGGGGCCGTTTCGTGGATGATTGGCGACTCTTGTACATGTTGCGGAGAGAAAGAGCAAGGGATTGAACTGTGAGGAGAAGATGGGGTGCTGGGATCGAAGATGCACGGTTGAGGGTGAGTTGAGCAAAAAATGTCCCCACTTACTAAATACATGAAGTCGTGGGCCCTGTTTGCGGGCTTATAACACGCCCAGAGCAAAGAAAATTTACAAGTGGAGAAGAAACGAGACATAGTTGCCGAGAAGGATTTGCTTCCCCTACAACCTGTCCCCCGCGGGGGCTCCCATGAGACGACTAGTGGGGGCGGCAAGGAGCGAGTGTGGTGGAAATTGTGATAATGTACAGTGTGAAAATGGAAGGAACGGGGTGTTTGTAAGTGTTGTACACTTATTTCACATATTAGAGAGGGCTACTGTCTCTGATGTGTTGAAATAGGTTAGACTGTCCCCTTTTCTGGGTACGAAGGAGGTCATCTGTCAAGGGCAAGCTAAATGTACAGGCATGTAGCATAGGGGTCATGCATGCAGTACGAGCGACCTGTGAAACGTACCATGAGGTGGTTGGGTGAGGACAACCGTTGACCAATAAGTAGTTATGCGAAGTACAGAGACGTAGTCAGTTCTCGCCAAGCGGAGCTTTTTCCTCCTGTCGTCTCTTTTGAGATGAAGGTGTGATCCGGAGAGCAAAACAGGGCCGGGCGGCAAGACGCAGGGTAAATGCATTGATAATACGATTGGAATACAGCACTGGCGCCTTGTTTCATTCCTCCGTCCGTCCTGCGTCTATTGTGTACAGTAGCTCTGGCCAATCGTTTCTGCTCTTCACTACTGTACGCCAGATCTAAAAATGGGCGCCGCCGGATTCCAATAGAGTATACAGTACAGTGCACCGTTCCACACTTTCCGCGCACGTGCACGCAAGTACACGTGCCGAGGCAAAGCTGTTGTCAACGGCGCGTGACTTGCGATCCGGCGTGGAACAGCCACATGTATTGTCTCGTTCGTATATACAGTCAGCCCTCCCAATAGTACTCCCCCGATAGTAATAAACCCCCCAGTATGAATACCACCCGTCTTTCCCGCAAGAAAAAGTGTGATTTGAGATGCTATAGGCAGGTCATCTGGATACGGAAATAGTGTGTTGATTTCGCAAAAACACATTGAATATTTATTAAAATTTGAAGTAAGACCATTTCGAATATGGATACAGTAGTGGTCACAGAACACGGAACCAACAGGTATGTGTTGGGCGACCAACTCCCGCCTTTTTATTCA